TTTATCCAACCAAAGGTCTTTGTTAACACTAACTCAAAGATAGTATTTTCATTCCAAGTAAGGTTGTTAAACACGATACCATTACGAAAATACTAAATGGCCCATGCTGTTGTAACAACAGAAAGCACCCAACAACTTTGAGATTTTATGCCAGACTTAAGTGAACAAAGTTTCAAAAGGAGGAGGGAGGCGTTACCAATGGGAGAAAAAGTAGTTCCCCACCAGCAGCATAATCGAGTCCAGATGTTTTGGGAAAATCGACACACTGCAAAGATGTGGTTAATATCTTCCACACTATCACCACAAAAAACACATTTTGGGTTGGAAGAAAGGTCAATACCACGATTGAGGAGGTTGTCTTTAGTGGGTAGTCTATTCAAGAAGAGGCGCCATGCAAAAACACTAATTTTTGATGGCATAAACTGATTCCAAATCACCTTGCAACATTTCTCATCAAGGCACAGAGGGAAATCATCAAGAAATTTGTAAGCTTGCTTGGAGGAATAACCTGTTGAGCAGTGCTTCCAAATGAACTTGTCAAGCCTTCCGTCTGATAAAATAACATTTCGAAGAGAATCTTCAAGCCTCTCAAGCTCATCCAATTCTTTACCGAAGGGAGGTCTGCGCCACTGAAAAGCCCACCCATCTGCATTACCCAGCTTCAATTCGGCAACCAAAGCATCCTTGCTTAATGTAAGGCAAAAAAGGCGAGGGAAAGAAAACATCAACGGAGAGCTGCACATCCAAGCATCCTTCCAAAATCTAGTGTTTGAGCCATCACCAACCTTACGGATAAAACCATCATCAAAACACCCAAAAGCTCTATCACAATCCCTGCCAATAGATAAGATATCCTTCCAAAAGGGAGAGAGGCTCAAAGAGGTAGTGTTAGAGATAGAAGTAGAAGAAACTCCATCATAATATTTTTTAACAATAATTTTTTTCCATAATTTCTCATTTCCTTCAGCATCATAAAAATTATTCCACCATTTTCCTAGTAAAGCAGAATTCCTAGTAGAAAGGTTTGGGATGCCAAGCCCTCCCTTTGATTTCGCAAGGCAAACTCTCCCCCAATTAACCCAAGCAATCTTATTATAGTCGTTTGAACTCCCCCACAAAAAGTTTTTTTGTATTTTCTCTAACTCACTAACAACACCTTTAGGGACCTTAAAAATAGAAAGGTAAAAAAGAGGGAGAGCCGAAAGTACCGACGTGAGGAGTGTGATGCGCCCTCCAAATGATAAGAGCTTTCCCTTCCAGGTTGCCAACTTAGACTGGAACTTCTCAACCACTGGTTTCCAGAATCTGAGATGATGAGGGTTGCCACCAACAGGGAGTCCCAAGTAAAGGAAGGGCAGGCGCCCACACTTTGAATTAAGGGTAGAGGCAGCCATATTAAGCCAATTCTCCTCAATATTAATACCATACAAGGTACTTTTGCTGAAGTTTATTAGGTGTAGACTTAAAAAATTTAAACCTTAATTTGAATTAAAGGAGAAAATCTCACATGAAAAAAAAAAAAAAACAGAAGACTTATAATAATTAATTTTATGTTAAATGCGATTTTTGTATAAAAACTATTATATCAAATTTTCACAAATCTAAATTACAAAATGAAAATTGTTTAGTAGTAAATCCAAGCCTCAGTGTTGGAGACTGAAAAATTAATAAATACTAATAAAAGAGACTATTTGACTTTTCATAATTTCTCTGGGAATAGAACTGAGAAAATGTAAATTAATCAGGAGTGACTTTAAACATTTCAATAATGAATAGGCTAAAATATTTAAAAATAAGATTAAACAACGGTTAAATTAGTTGAGAATAAAGCCCTTGCTCAATAACTAGCAAGGGAGAAGAGTGAGACACAGCCTTGAATAACATTTCCAATGACAATTCTTATTATTTATATACATTTATATAATACATTTACTAAATTAACTTTTTTTCCAAGTTGATATAAAGGCATGCCTTTAAGATTGTTTAGAGAAGATAAATCTCAAAGTGCACAAAACTTAAAGTAAGAACACCATAATCTTAAAATACTAAAAAAGGAAAAAAAAAAAAAAAAAAAGAAGACTAAATTACATTCACACATAAACCAATCTACAAGACACACTTCACACAACTTGTAAACGGACTACTGAAGAACCAATCCTAGGACCTAATTTGTTGCTACTTAGTACTGATCAATCGAGACAACCAGCATCTCCTTATTTTCTACATTTTCTTTTCCATATTAAAACTGAAAGGGAGAGTTTACATCTTCAGGGGCAAGTTGCTGCTTTAGTTTCTATCAGAGTGGCCAACACCAGGGCTGTGCCCTGGATTTGTAGGTTTAAAATCATCTGTCTCACTGAAGCTATGGCTTTCGGATTTTTCTTCCTTCTCCTCTGTGTCTTGTACGTGAGAATAACGTCCAACTCCAGGGCTATTTCCTAGCATTGTGGGACGGAAATCATCAGTGCTAGGGGCTTTTTGTTCTTTGCCTGCAGGAAAGTGTCCTACTCCGGGGCTGTTACCTGGCGTTGTGTGACGAAAATCATCTGTAGATCCCATAACAGAATGCTTAGTGCCCTGTAGTTTACCATATTCTTTCTCTTGTTCAAGAGGATGGCCGACTCCAGGACTATGCCCTGGATTTGTAGGTTTAAAATCATCTGTATCACTGAAGCTGTGCCTTGCCGATTTTTGTCCATTCTCGTCTTTGACTTGTACGTAAGAATAATTGCTTCCTGGAGATGTGGGACGGAAATCATCAATTCTGTGGGATTTTAGTTCTTTGTCTGCAAGATAGTGTCCTACCCCGGGGCTGTCACCTGGAAAACCCATAACTGGATGCTTAATGCCCACAATTTCATGACCATCTTCTTTATCTTGTTCAAGAGGATGGCCGATTCCAGGACTGTCCCCTGGGGTTGTTGGGGGTAGATCTTCCTCTCCTTCAACTGCACCTGAATCACCAAAACCTCTGCTCTGAGATTTGGGAGTCGGGACGCTCTGCTTCGACTCTGTTCTGTACATCGACTTTAATACTCTTCCCTCCATAACCAGAACTTCGTGGCAGAGTAGTATTAAAAAAATAAAAACATACTTATGAAACTGAAATTCCATGTTTCGGCAGGAAATTAAATATAGCTGTTGTAATGTAGTGAGAGGAAGCCAAGTAGCTCAAGAGGAAATTTAGAAGTAAAGAAATTAAGAAGGAAGGTATTAGAACACAGAACAATGTGGCAAGTTCTCTGGATTGATCTTAATAGCAACCTCCCTATTTATAATCTTCAGATATAAACAGTAAAGATCTTAATAGTAATACCACTAATTATTCAAACAAAATAAGTGGGGAGACAAAGGCATCAATGCTAATTTAGAAAATATTGAAAGGTCATGCGTAGTGAGCGCCAAAACTGGAAAATTAAACAATATATATTGTATTTGTATTCAATGCATATTGATTGTCTAAGATCTATCACTTCAATACACGGCTAGATATAGTAGTACTCTTTAATGCCGCACCTATATTTTTTTATTAACAAAAATAAGATTTTATTGAACCCATTACACGATGGTGATTAGGGCTACATAAAATTTTGTTAGTTAGGGCTATATAGTTTAATTGTTATTTTATGGATTTATAATTTTTTTAAATAGTAGTCGTAATATTTGAAAATATTTATTAATTAATTTTAATATGTGAAATACTTCGTTTGTCTCAAAATAAATGTTGTTTTTTTACTTTTCTTCAAAATTAGAGATTGATAGAGAATCTTTGTTTTAGTAAGCTTTACCTTTTTTATTACAGAACTGAAAAAATTAAATTGAAATCAAATATTCCTAACATAATGCCTTACTTGCTTGCTCAAGTACTCTTCGACTTCTAACTCTTCTCTTTTCCACGATACAATACTATAACCTATAGTTACTTAAACCACTAAAAAAGTAACACAGTATCAGTGTTTTCATTCATGGCTTCCAACCAACAAATTTACCAACAATACCATTTGCTGAAATAGATTTGAATGTTAATTGTACATATCTTGAGACAAATTGCTATGAAAATGATTTAGTTATCCAAACAGAACATGGAACACAGCCACCCGTTTTGAACATCCATTTGCCTACTCCGACTTCTACTCCGACATCTATTTCTACCCTGCTTGATTTGAATGTGGAACACAGTCAGATCTCAATTTAGTGAACCTGGTCGGGGTTCGCGGAACATTTAGGGCTAGATATTGGATGGGAGGATACTGGGGAATTTTTAGAGATTTCTTGAACCAATTGCATGCAAGGCAAGATAATGAAATAGGAGATGTAGTTTTTAGATGAAGGACAGAGTGATCGAGCGGAAGATGATAAATTTGGAAGAGATGATGTGCAAAAGATTTCGCAGAGATAAGAATTATCGGGAGGGTTAAAATTGAGAAAAAAAAATAATACACCCACAAACATAAAAAAAGCATCACTTAATTTGGTATAAAAAATGATAATTATTTTAAAATAAAAATAATAATAAGTATCAATTAATTTTAATAGTTAAATTAAGATAAAAATTTCATAATTTATATATCCTTAACAAGTTTAAGGGTATCCGTAATCTCACTCCATTACATCCAATCTGATAGTATCGAATGTCGAGTACAGTACGAAACCTCTCAAACTATTCAACAATTTCAATTTCAAATACTCTTTCAAGCGCGCATCCGCAGCTGTGGCTGCAATAACAGGTGCATCTTTGACTGTGGATATCATTATGATTCAAATTTTTGTGATGTTATTCTCTTTTCTTAATGTTTTCATGTTTTTTTTTTATTTCCTTAATTGTTTAGTTATTTTTTTTTTTTTTTTAAAGTTAAAAGTTTTTAATTTGGGTTTCCTTATTTTTCAGTTTTGTTGTTTTAGGAATTGAAGGTTGTTTTTTTTTCTTTTTGCATTCAAATTAAAAAAAATTTTGCTTTTTTGAAAAAATAAGTTTTTTTGTTGGAACGCGGAAAATTTTTTCCAACCCTTTTTTTTCTTAAATTTTACCTTCTTACCTTGGGGGAATTTTTTTTTTATTTTTTTGTTTTGTTTAGAGGAATTTTGTTTTTTTTAAATTATTTTTTCAATTTCAGTTTTTTTAATTAAAAAAAAAGTAGTAAGAGGGTTTTTTTTTCTTATGTGGTACGTCGTTTTTTTTCTTATTATTCGTCAATCATTGTTGTTATTATTATTTGTTGGTTGTTAATTAAAAAAAAAAAACCACGCGAGAAGATGAAGATCTTTTATGTGGCCAAAAGGAAAGATTGAAGGATGCAGCTTGTTTTCTTTTTCAGATTGATGTCTGAATCCTTAATTCTCTGTGGATTGGGGCTGTACAGCAATTAAAGGAGGCTCAAGTAGAAGATTTCGTGATGCTGCAGTAGCTGTTGATAGTCAGGTCTAGCGTGGCATATAGCAATAAGTAAGAGAGGCTGCAGTTGCATCATCCTTACAAGAACGCCATTAATTAGCACATATTACAGTTTAATATATTATATCATATATTCTTTAAAAATTCATTATTTTTTAATTTAAAATTAAAAATAAATAAATTTAAAGATGTAATTATATATAATGTAAAAATTAATTGAATTAATTATATTTATATTATATTTTTAATAAATTAATTAAATAAATATTAAAAAATATATTAAATTAAGTGTATATTAATTATTTTTCTTATAAAAACAGATAAATATAAAACAGATAAATATAAAGCAAATTAAAGCAGAGTTTGAATACGGTAATAGCTGCTTAAATCGTTGAACCGTTGGAAAAGTCAAACTCGCCGGTAGGAGTACATATATATGTTTCAGGTCATCTTTCGAACCCAAGACAAGGCCGTTGTTGTATCTTTCAGTTGTGAGATATTTCATGGTCATATTTTTCATAGTCCTATATGAACCCCTAACATGGATACTTGATGAAAATTTTCCGAAGTCCTTTATTTGGTACTTATCGAGTATGCCATTTTCTACATCTGAGTACTTAACACAATTTTCGTAACGTTTAATCATTTAAATAAATAGGTCAAATATCTCTTGAGAATAATTAGCTTCAATTTAGTATGATTTTGATTTTTAATTTTTAATTTTATTTTTAGATATTTAGTAACTAATATTGTATTTTAAATTAAATTTAATAAATTTTAATTTTTATGATAAATTTAAATTATTGTATACAGTAATAGTTGCTAAATATATAAAAAAAATAAAAAATAAAAAATATATTAAACTAAGCGTTAAAAAAAAATTATTCGTGTATATTTTAGTTCAACACTTTTGTTAATACTTATTAGTTTAGTTATTAAAATGCATCATTTTAAATTTTTTTATCTTTAATTTATGTAAAAAAATATTTTTTAATAAATATGTTGTGAAAATATTTTAAACTAAAATTTACTTGTGTTAGTGTACTAAAAAAACCGACATTTCATAAACTATGTATAATACAAATATATAGCTTAAAATTAATGAATAATAAAATGCACATATTACTTTTCATATCTTTTATGTGAAAAATTTTAATTAAACATACATTGAGGATGCATTTGGGCCTTAGATCCAGTAACGTCAGATCACGTATAAATGCATTCTTCCTATCTCAGAGCAACGGCAACGGCAATGGTTCAAATTTGACCACTTACGAATTTATTCAAAAAAAAAAAAATACATTGAGGATACTCTTCGACAGCCGGTGCACTAAAAGGCTTTTCCATTGGCCATCACCTAAACCACAATTTGGAAATGACTCTTTGCCATAGAATATCAAAATGCCTATAGTTTTCTTTAATTTCTTGGTGTACCGTTGACAATGTCCATTATTAGATTACCGGCTGAATAGAGATGCTTTGGCGGTCCCCTTTTTTGTCTTTTTAGTGCTACTTAATAATGAATTTAACTCAATTTTAAACTATATCTTAAAATTTTTTTTTTCCCTCCCATAATCTTGCTTTCTCTTGAAGTTATATTTTATGTAACCTAAGGTTTTTATTGCATTGACAATCTTAAATAATATTCATTTTTCTATTTGAACCGTTAATGTATTTTTGAATCAATTTTTACATATTTCAAAATAAATTTTTTTAAAAGAGACTTTAAAAGTACATCTTTTATTTTAATTTTAAGTGTTGATATTAAAATTTAAATTTTAAATCCAATTTATATAAAAAAAGACTTTATTAATATATTCAACCTTTAAAGGTTTAAATAATTATTACTTTAATTTTTATATAGTGCTTTCATGTACCAGTGAAAATTAAAGAATATGTACTATGTATTGTTGAAAATTAAAGAATGCATGAAAGCACTCCAGGGACAATATAGTTTGTATATAGCTACCACTAATGGGAAATAAAAGTGTTGTGGCTTGTAATGGATGGTTTATATGTACCAGCCGGCATTTGACCGAATGATTAAAGTGAAAAAGAATCTTACTTTTTTCTTGTAATGCAAAACATTGACTTTCTATGGAATGCTTTTTGTGGATTTGAACAGTTCATTGTGGCAGTGGGTTTGACTCTCCTCCTGAAGTTGGGGGGATTTGCATTCCCT